AAAAAAGTGTAAAAAAGTCACACAACATCCAGCTAATCCAACATAATTCCTGAAGTTTAGAAATGATGAGGATATTGCCTTTTTCTGGAAAAAAAATAAAAATAAAAATCTTTAAACAATACACGTTGCATCCCCCAGCAGGCTTTCTAATCTCTTTGAAATTAACTTTCATCCTCTTTGTCACGTTAATTTCAAAATTATTTAAGTGATTTTATTTCTTTTTATCTCTTTACAAAGAGTTTAAAATCATATTTGTGCTAATCACTTAAATAATTCAATAATTATTTCTTTTCACTGGAAGTAAAAGATCTTAAATTTGGGTCACATGGCATGCGGATAAGGTGAGACAAGAGATAAAGGATGGTTATCTTCTATTATACAACCAAAATAAATAATAATAATATTGTAATTCACATTCATATTATTAGAGCTTGTATTAGTGTTAAATGTTAAAGGTTAAAGTATATGTGTTAATACATTGTCCAGTTTTATTTTAATGATTTGTGATGCCTGACCATTGATGAATCATGAATGCCTAGTTTACAAGTATTTTTTGGTGATTATTAAAGTACTTCTTTTCTTGTTTATATATAAAGATAAAAAGATAAGATTTTATTATAATAAAACATAACTTAGGTAATGGACAATATTTTTTGAGAAAGTGCAAAAAAGGAGAGAAGACTAATTAGCGTGTATTTTTTTTTTTATGAACTCTCGATATTTAATAATCACATTAAATTTTGATTAATTTGGAGTTGAAATCATATAAATCGATACCATTATATCAATAGATACTAAACTAATAATTTTGATTATCAAAACAGAAAATTTACAAATATAAAGGTTCAATCAACATTCCTAATCAGAAAACCATATGGTAATTCCGCCACTACTTTGACTTGATTTAAAAATTTACAAGTACAAGGTTTTGATATCCACTATTCAACTCACTAGTTAGATGTATATTCATTGAATATTATAATATGTTATAACTTTAATTGGGTGGTTCAACATTTAAAAACTTAAAACTTCAAATTGGAGACTTCAAGTTCGATCCTTGAGTTGAGTGAAGAGGTTACAAGTACAAGGTTTTGATACCCACTACTCAACTCACTAGTCAAATGTATATGCATTGAATATTATAATATATTATAACTTTAATTGGGTGGTTCAACAGTTAAAAACTTAAAATTTTAAATTGAAGATCTCAAATTCGATCCTTGAGTCGAGTAGAGAGGGATTTGAGAATAGAGGAGAGTTATCCCCTCTCATATAATCCATCATCAAATGTAAAAAAAAATATTATAATATGTTATACAAATTAAGTTTATACATAATACATATATATAACACATCTTTGCACCTAGCCTTCTTGGTCTAGTGGTTTTGTCACCCTTAATAGGTGCACTCCTACTCCTATGGATTGGATTTGATTCCCCTCACCTCTAATTTATAATTTGTTCGAAAAAAAAAAAAAAAACATCCTTAAACTTATAAAGAGATATATGAATTTATACTAGCATACTTAAACACATACCTAAATCCAAACAAAATTTATATATAACAAAATACATTAGTTCATACAAACCGTAAATTCATATAATAAATAGAGCAAGAAATTATATATGCAAGTTAAATATACATCTATAGACACTCTCATTCTCAGTACTTAATATTTGGCAAGTATATATTTTTATACTCAATATTTAACTCTTTTTAAATACATGCACAATATTTATCTAAACAAATCAAATACACATAAATATCAGACATTCCCACATTCAATTCTCACTCCTAATCCAAACTTACCGTTATTCTCCATTTATAAACAGAATATGATTCTTCCATCAATTTTCCTGTGGAAAACTTAAGAAGAAAATATTTAGTCAGTAGTTCTAAATCTTTTAATTTGTCAACTTTCCGCATCAGAGCACATGTATTTTTCCCTCTATATGTAAGTAGGAGCTCAAACAAGTTTACTAAGTGAGAAAACAAAGTCATGAAATCCCTTGAGGGAAAGAAAATTTTCCTTCTTGGACCTAACATTTTTGTTTCTCATAAGAAGAAAAAAAAAACCTCAAAAATATCTTAAATGGGTACTATATGATGGTACTGTTTTAAATCCTAACTTTACTTAGTCAGTTCAATCAATTAAACCAAACATAATTACAAAAATAAATTAAGTAAATGCACTAGACTATTTTTGAAGATTAATTAGGTCAAATTTGTAAAAACTAGTTAACTAAGTAACCCAATCGATCTAGATTAACCCAACTTGGTTAGTATCAAAATCTTCTTTTTTATATATGATTTTCTTTTTTACTTTTTTATGTATTTTATCTTTTTGAATTGCATAAATTCAATTAAATTCAACTCTTCTAAGGTTAGTTCAAGTTGTCTTTAAGGTGATTATCTCATCAAATAGAGTAATATCATGGTAAAATATATGAAAACGCTAAAAAAATTAATTTTTTAATTGATCGACTAAATCAATCGATTGAATCAATTGAATTAGACTTGATGCTAAAATTGGCCGATCACTAAATGTCGTAACTCAATTTTTATTAGGTATTCTTAATAAAATTCCCAAATTTGATAAAGAATTTAAAAATGAAAAAAAAAAGAAGAAAAA